CTCCTCCTCCTCCTCCTCCTCCTCCTCCTCCTGGGCGACACGTCGGCGGACCCGGCCAGCGCGCGGAGCCCACGATTGAACCCAAGAGTGCTCCAAGAGCAAAAGCAGTGTTCTTAGAGCATAGACCCGATGGGTCCACACAAGACAGTCTCAGCAGGGAGTGTTCTGAGAACGTGTCGTGGGAACCACCCAGGGCTCTTAGAACACTCTCTGGTAGGCCTGTAGGCACGCCCGGACGCTTCGCCACTGCTTGACACGAGGCGACCACGGGCGACCGCCAGGTGGAACCCCGGCGGGCTCACCACCTCAACGTACAAGCCGTTCGGTGCCGTGGCGTGCACGCCTGGGGAACGAACGCGTGCGGGCGCCGAGCTTCGTCGGCAGGCCCTGCAGCTCGAGCGGGCAGGCGTGCAGCGGGGCCCTCTGCCGATGCGGGCCTCCGCCGCTTCTCGGCTTCAGCCCGCGCGCCGGAGACTGCGGCGGCGACCACGAACGGCCAGGCGCTGGCGCTTTGAGCTACGACCGCCACCATGGCAAGGCCAAACCAAAGTCATGCAGATGTGCAGGCCCGCTCCACGCGGATGCTCGTGGCCTTCTTCGCTCAGGCATTGCTAATCGACGGCGCATTCCGCAATCCCGAAGGGGTCTTCTGGCCGTATGAGCGCAGTGGACCTAGCAATAGCCTGAAAACCAACAAATTACAATGAATCCAACACCAACCTGAAATGAATCCTTTCGGCAATGTGATTCTTCCTATCCTGGAGTGTCCTACACGACACTGCATCGGTCATGCATTTTTGCTAGCGGCTCAACTCCAACACACTCACGCCTTTGGTCGTGTTGGCAACCGTGGGTTCCAAGGTGTTGCTTGATGCCGGATGCGGCTGGCCAAGTGCGTTCAAGTTCTCCAAATCTTGATCATAACATCGCGTGTCTCGGGTCCCGCATAGCTTCTCGCAGTCAGAGAACAAGACTTTGCGAATCTGGGCTGCCTGCAGTTACACTTGCCCCCATCGTTGTGCATCTATTTCTGTTTCTGGCAACATATACCAGATATATCGGGACGTAATACGCAATAGCGATATGCGGGCCATCTTTGGCTTTGGCCTGGGCGTCGATTTTCTTGTCATCGCCGTTCAATCACATCTCGTGGATGTACGAAACAAGGCGTGGCCTTGGAAGCCCTTCGAGGACTTCGTGCGTCGTGGAAACAACTCGCAGGGCCGCGGGATCACAGTGTTCTTCGAACCGCGTGGAGCACAGGAACTACACCAGAGATAACCTCAACTGTCTTTTCGCGCGTCGGACGTCAAGACATCGTGTTGGTGGTGGACGGGAAGATCAAGTGTGGTGCTCTCTGCATCCTGGCCTCTACTATATACTCTGTGCTCTCTGCTCTCCGCCCTGCCCCTTCCCACTCTCTAACCTACGCCCTCTGCTCTCCACTCTGTGCTTTCTGCCCTTCCTTATCCACTCCCGCCTCTCCACGCGTCCCTTTCTGCCCCATGCGCTCTGATTTCTGCACCCTGCACTCTGCGCTCTAAGCTGTACTCTATACTCTCCTCTGTGCTCTCTCTTTCTCTGCTCTCTTGTTTTTGTTGTTATCTCTCCTTCTCTCTCTCTCTACTCCCTGTATTTTCTCATTTTGTTTGTTGTTGTTCTCTCTCTCTCTCTTTTCATAACCACTCTTTCTGCGCTTTCTCCCTCTCTCTTTTTGTTCCCTCTCTCTCCCTCTCTCAGCTTTTTAAACTCCGTCTCCATTGTTCTACGCGTACTCTGGAACCGCAGAGACCTGGTGGCCAACCAAAACCGTCTGAAGATTTTCACCAAACCTAGCAGCCCTGAAACCTAGTCGATTACCGAACTCGGTAGCCAACTTCTGCCACAACCCTACAACACTGAGAACCCAAGACCTCGAACAAAGTACAAGGGAATCCTGCCGCATATTGAAACCAGCGGCAAACTTACGCTATTTTCCTTACATTGCGCAGGACTGGGAACGGGGAGCCGCGGATCCCTGGCGCCCGCCGACAGCCGCGGCCAACTTTCACCAAACCAGTGCTGGACCTAAACTTTGTTTTTCGTTTTGTTCCCCACCAGACAGGTTGGGGTCGTTAGACTTTAAGAACAAACTTCCCGGCCACTCCCACCCTGCATACCGCGGCCGCCCGACCCCAAGTTGTCCTGAGAGTCCCGGTTATCCCGCCTCGCGCCCTCGACAAACACGACAGAACACACCCTGCATACCGCGGCCACCCGACCCCAAATTGTCCCGAGAGTCCAGGTTATCCCGCCTCGCGCCCTTGACAAACACGCCAGAACACATCCTGCATACCGCGGCCGCCCGACCCCAAGTTGTCCCGAGTGTCCAGGTTATCCCGCCTCGCGCCCTTGACAAACACGCCAGAACACATCCTGCATACCGCGGCCGCCCGACCCCAAGTTGTCCCGAGTGTCCCGGTTATCCCGCCTCGCCCCCTCGACAAACACGACAGAACATACCCTGCATACCGCGACCGCCAAACTCAAAGTTGTCCCGAGAGTCCCAGCTATCCCGCCTCGCCCCCTCTACAAACACGACAGAACATACCCTGCATACCGCGGCCGCCAGACCCCAAGTTGTCCCGAGAATCCTGGGTGTCCCGCCTTGCGCCCTCGACAAACACGACAAAACACAGTATGACACAAAAGAACATGACAGAACAGAACAAGAGCATGGCAGAACACGGCAGAACATAGCAGATCAAGAGCACGGCAAAATAGAAGTCACCAGCATATCATAGAACATACCAGAGCAGAACATGACAT